GCCTCGCACTGATGACCTATCCACGTCATCATTTACCCAGAATGCTTTGTGTGGAAATAAAATGGCCCTGTCCGTGTTAAAATATATGTTTATCAAGTAAAGTCTGATGTTACAACTAATCGTGGATCCCTTTAAAGCCCTCCTGTCTCACTGAGGTTGAGGCTGTTTTTATTCTCTCAGGTTTTTTAGTGTCGTTTGTTTTCTTTAACTCTCTGGCYGTCTTGTTTTTGTTTCCTTCATCGTAACAAAGTGTGCACCTGCTGCTCATTAGTTAAATGTATGTAGAGGCAGGTTAGTGGTGACTCTGCAGATCCTGCTGTAGTTTCAGCACATTTATGTGTGTGTGAGTCCTGACACCCAGTGAACAGATCAGATATTACAGTCATGACTGCTGAATCATTTCAGAGCGTGCTCCAAACGACAGAGACTCCCTCTTTGTCTGAGAACRGTCAGTGTTTACAGCTCTGAATGAGCTGTGGGCTTTTATTTAAACAGCTCAGACCTTATTTTACATGTGTGACCTCACAACAGACTCCTCCCTGTTTTCATCAGGAGAGTCTTCACTACACACACACACACACACACACACACACACACACGCACACACACACACCGGCACACACCCTGTCTGTAAAAGCAGAGCGGTGCAGCAGACATGCTGAAGAAGCTGATGTGCCGGAGGATCTGTCCTCGTAAGAACAACTCGTCTTCCTCTCCTCTCCTCTAACCTGTTGCTTTTTCTCCATCTTGTTGTTGTTTCGTAGCCTGACAAACGTTGTTTATTGTGTTTGCTGCTCTGAGCTGTTCGGTCCTACACAGGCTCATGGAAACCTGCAGGATCTGAATGAGATTTATTAGATCCGTCTCAGGTTTACAGCAGATTTGAAGCTGCCTGGAGTCACGGTGGGCAGGCGATGCCTTCAGAGCAGATTAAAACCTGATGGATGAATGGATGAATGTGACAGCCTGAACTGGTTTTCCTCTGAGATGACTCAGAGAAGATGACAATGCGTTTCTTCCCCTCAGACTGTGATACGAACCAAGAACAAGGCGTTTATCTCCTGCTTCTCTTTGTTCTCCAGATAAGAACTTTGAGGATGAAGACTCGGTGGATGGAGGCAGGTCCTCCTCCTCCTCCTCCTCCAAAGCGCCCCCTGGTGGAAGGAGGACTGTGATGAGCTCCGTTAGAAGGCCCAGCTCTGCCTCTTCTACAAAGTCCACAGGTGAGGGAGCGGCCAGCTTGTTTATTTCAAAATAAAGTTCAGTTTTTAAAAGCCTGTTTCCTCCTGCAGGTAAAGAAGCAGCAGCTGGAGCCGTGGATGAAGAGGATTTTATTAAAGCCTTTGAAGACGTTCCTTCAGTCCAGGTGAGTTCAGGTGGATACAGTGTTTGTAATATTATTGTTTATCTTTTGTTTTATTTATTAGAGTTTCTCGTTGTGTAGGTCTACTCCAACAGAGAGCTGGAGGACCAGCTGACAAAGATCAGAGAAGTTCTGTCTGATGAGAAACACGACTGGGAGCACCGGGTGGTGGCTGTAAGGCTTTTATTTTGAAGTTTTTATTATTCCCAGAGTCCTGCAGAGAGTGGATCCTTATTCTCCTCCGTCTGCAGCTGAAGAAGATCCGTTCCCTCATGCTGGCCGGAGCCACGGATTACGAAGGTTTCCCTCAGCAGCTGAGGCTCCTGGAGGCCTCCTTCAAGCTGTCCGCTAAAGACCTGCGGTCTCAGGTGGTCCGCGAGGCCTGCATCACTCTGGGGTGAGACCACAAGGCGGGTTCATGAGACAGGATTTAGACTTTTACTCAGAATTACTTTTTTTTATCCAAGGCTAATTTCAAAAAACTTTTACAGAAACATGTTTATAAAACAAACTTTACGTGTTTATATCCTGTTTACTGTTTAAAAATATTCAAACTAAGAGATTTCTAATCAGCCCAAAAACTGATGAAGTTTTTAACATCTAATTAAGCTTTGTTCACCTGTAGCTTGTTTTGATCCTTTTACCTCTAAGTTGTTGTTTTTAGCCTCTGCTCTTCTCTTTTTAGCCTGTGTTACTCATTTTAATCTCCGTTTGACTCATTTAGCTGTTTTATTTACCTGTTTTAGCCTGTGTTATGCTCATTTTAGTTCATCTTTTTCTCATTTTAGCTCATGTTTTGCTCATTTTAGCCTCTATTCTGCTTATTTTAACTTCTGATTTAGTAATTTTAGCTTCATTCTTCTCATTTTAACCTATGTTGGACTCATTTTAGCTTCTGTTTTGCTCATTTTAGCCTCTATTCTTTACATTTTAGCCTATGTTTTATTCATTTTAGCCTCTATTCTGCTTATTTTAACTTTTGATTTAGTAATTTTAGCTTCATTACTCATTTTAGCCCATGTTGGACTCATTTTAGCCCATGTTTTATTCATTTTAGCTTCTGTTTTGCTCATTTTAGCCTGTATTCTGCACATTTTAGCCCATGTTTTATTCATTTTAGCTTCTGTTTTGCTCATTTTAGCCTGTATTCTGCACATTTTAGCCCATGTTTTATTCATTTTAGCCTTTATTCTGCTTATTTTAACTTCTGATTTAGTAATTTTAGCTCCATTCTACTCATTGTAGCCTCCGTTTTACTCGTTTTTAGGTTTTTTCTAATTTTAGCCTTTGTTCTGCTCATTGTAGCCTATGTTTGACTCATTTTAGTTTCTTTTTTGCTCATTTTAGCCTCTATTCTGCACATTAGAGCCTATGTTATTTTCATTTTAGTGTCGTTTTTGCTCATTTTAGCCTCTATTCTGCACATTTTAGCCTATGTTTTTTTCATTTTAGTTTCTTTTTTGCTCATTTTAGCCTCTATTCTGCACATTTTAGCCCATGTTTTACTCAGTTTTGCTCATTTAGCTGTTGTTCTGCCTGTTATAGYCTTCGTTTTGGTCATTTTAGCTTCTGTCTTGCTAATTTTAGATTTATTCTGCCCATTTTAGCTTCTGATTTGCTCATTTTTACCTGTATTCTGCACATTAGGCTGTTTTACTCATTTTAGCTTCTGTTTTGCTAACTTTAGCCTCCGTTTTACTCGTTTTAGCTTTTTTCTCATTTTAGCCTCTATTCTGCACATATTAGCCTATGTTTTACTGAATTATTTTGCTCATTTAGCTGTTGTTTTGCCTGTTATAGCTTTTGTTCTGCTAATTTTAGCTTCAGTTTAGCTTCTGGTCTTGTTTTAACCATAACTAAGTTTGAGGGTGTAAATTTCAGCTGACTGGTTTCTGTAAAATAAATTTCTCTATCAGAGCGTAGAGAAACGAGTTGTTTCTAAATGAAACTGAACGTTTTCATGAAACATTAATAGTTTGTGAGTTTTCTCCTGATTGATTGAAGGGTTTCTGAGCAGCGCTGACATTCAGCTGCATCCAGAACTGATTAGTTGTAGCTTTAAAAATAGTAWTTTTTTTTTCCTGGTCTTGACTTAATGAGAACCTCCTCAAACACGTCGAAGCGTCCATGGCCCAGCTTCTAATGATGAGCTGCAGTAAAGAGCAGGAGGAGATGAATGTTCCCTCCCATCAAAACCTGCAGTTAGTGAATGTAACCACTGCTGCCTGTAGGGTTGATAAACTGTGACTCTCTCTCTCTCAGATATCTGTCGTCCATTCTGAGGAACAAGTTCGACCACGCAGCAGAGAGCGTCATGCCCACTCTGCTCAACCTGGTGCCCAACAGTGCCAAAGTCATGGCCACGTCTGGAGTGGCCGCCATCCGCCTCATTCTGAGGGTGAGGCGGGGCTCTGACTCTGACCTGTTTCTGCTGTGAGCTTAATAAAATAACTGCGTGTTTGTGTGTCTCCTCCTCTCGCAGCACACACACTACCCTCGTCTCATTCCCATCATCACCAGTAACTGCACCTCTAAATCTGTAGCCGTCAGACGGTAAGAGCCTCTTCCACAGGACCCAGAACCTTTGTGAGGGTCTCTGAGGTGCTGATGTGTTGTGTGTCTGCTCTGCAGGCGCTGCTACGAGTTCCTGGACCTCATGTTGCAGGAGTGGCACACCAACACTCTGGAAAGGTGAGCTCTGCTTCCTCTGCAGAGAACACCTGTTACCTGTTCAGGACCGTTTCTGCAGTCAACAGGAACAGATTGTTATGGGACCAAAGAGCGGTCCTGTTGGAACACCATGTAGCTCAGGGTTAGGCTGCAGAAATGACTGCAAGTGAATGGAATACACAGTGTTAGTTTTTATATGTCATTTTAGCTTCTGTTCTGCTTATTTTAGCTTCTGTTTTTATGCTTTTACTTCTGTTTTTCTATTTTTACCTTTGCTAGCTCATTTTAGCCTCTGTTCTGCTTATTTTAGCTTCTGTTTTTATATTTTTACTTGCTAGCTTCTGTTTAGCTCATTTTAGTTTCTGTTTAGCTCATTTTAGTTTCTGTTTAGCTCATTTTAGCATCTATTTTTCACATTTTAGCTTCTGTTTTTATATTTTTACCTTTGCTAGCTCATTTTAGCCTCTGCTTAGCTCATTTTAGCTTCTGTTTTTATATTTTTACCTTTGCTAGCTCATTTTAGCCTCTGCTTAGCTCATTTTAGCTTCTGTTTTTATATTTTTACCTTTGCTAGCTCATTTTAGCCTCTGCTTAGCTCATTTTAGCTTCTGTTTTTATATTTTTACCTTTGCTAGCTCATTTTAGCCTCTGCTTAGCTCATTTTAGCTTCTGTTTTTATATTTTTACCTTTGCTAGCTCATTTTAGCCTCTGCTTAGCTCATTTTAGCTTCTGTTTTTATATTTTTACTTG